ACAGTTCCCAACACAAGTGGTTTAAGGAGCACTGGATAGATCTGCTTCTCTTCCCAAAATACCTCCCTCACTGCCATGCAAAATATGACCATTCAAGGAGGATGATGAAAAGCTCTATACATATAAGGAGGCAGCGTGGAGCTGTAAAAAGAGCCCTGTCCCTGGAGTCAGATGCCTTGGATTAGAATGCTGGTTCTTTCTCAGGATTAGTCTGTCAGACCCAGGAGTCTTATCGAAGTAACAATTATTGCAACAAGATCAATGGATAATGTTTCTAACAAAGCAAGCCAGGATCTGTCAGCTGGGCCATGTTTGGGGAACACAGCTTCTCTAGCCTTCCCAGCTCCCAAATGAGACACACTAAGGTTGGTGGCTGCAGTCGTCTACCTTCAGGGTGAGGTTGTGAACGTCCTGAGTGGAGGCTTAGCAAGCCTTTCATAACTGAGTCCACACCAAGCTAATACTCCAGCACAGTTCCCTTATGTTGTTCCAAAAAATGGCCTCTTAACAGATCACCTCACTCAGATCTAACATCCAGGTTGAGGATATAATTTCTAGTGCCATCTTGCTACACTGTTCCCAGGTCATAGAATAACCATTGTACATCACAAATTGATGATCACACAACAAACAGGGAACAATTGACTATCTGTAGTTGGTATGTGCAGTCTGTTATCTACAAGATGAGCCAGGGCCCATCAGAGTCACTTACTGAGTTACTTAAGCTCTCTGTGCCTCCTTATTTTCATGTGTGAAGCAGCAACAGCAATATCTATATCATAGGATTGTGTTGCGAGTGGATGAGATCAGGCAGTAAAGCACCTAGCACAATGCCTAGTGAGCCCATGCTTAGTAAACGCAAGTGGTTACACCTACTCCTCACTTATCGACTATTTTGTTATCTGACGTTTAGCATTTACAACAGTAGTAGAAAATCTACTATTTGTGCATTAACGATATACATCTGGCAGTAACTCTTTTATGACCAGTGAGACATATACACCACCTACATTTTCCATGTCTTGAGTCAGAGGGACATATGTGTCCCATATAGTATTTTGTGATCTGATGTGGTCATCCTCCATTTTCACATAACGCTGATTTTCATATAACAACCTGGTCTTTGGAACCTAACCACGTCCATAAGTGAGGAGTGGGTGTACTTATTTTACTCTATTATTACCTGATTACCTTATCCCAAGCTATTTTTGAGAAGAACTATTCTGAGCAGAAAGTCATATCTTTGTTTAAATATGTGTAAGGGCTTCCTTCTCCTTGACTGAAGGGACACAAGTCACCAAGAAGAGATGTGTATGGGTGAGAAGGTGCAGGTCCTTCAAGACAAACTGCCAATGTTTCATTTTGCTTATGGCTGTCATCGTCCTCCTGAACAGTGAGGAAACCTTTTCATGAACAACTCGGAGGACCGCCTAGCAATTTTCAGTTGTGGGAAAGAGGGTGTAAGGGAATTATGCCTGAAAAACCCAACCCACCAAGGCAATCAATTATTGTGCTCATTTTGAAGAACTATTTTTGGGAACTCTTTGTCTCTACTGCAAAGATACTATTTTCTTCCTGGTTTTAATTTATCACAAGAATGCTATAATAAACCTAGAGGAAATGGATAAATTTCTAGAAACACACAGCCTACCCAAACTACAACAAAGTGATGTTGAAAATCTGAACAGACCCATAACAAGAGAAGAGATTGAAAAGGTAATAAAAAAACTCCCAACC